ATAACAATAAAGTTTGATGGTGTAAGGGTGAAAGAAATGGTTTATTTAGTAGTGCAAAGAAGGCTAGTTAGTTAGTTGATGCCTAACACTATTTTCATTACATAAAGTACGTACCGCCAAATATGGTATAGTGGAACTTTTATACTTAGACGTACCTACATAAAGTCTTCTGAAAAGACTTCTTGTTTACCTGAGGAGACACAAGGTTGGAGTTGCGGGCGCTGCGGTGGATGTTCACAGTCTGACAAAATTCCTTTAGCAAATTTGTTGCATGACATCAAGTGCCTATCAGTGACAATGTCAACGATATGGCCTAATGGGATACCACCACTCGCCCTACTGACAGTCTTCAGGGTTCTACGAAGTATGACATAGTCTTTTTAAAGCAATCCAGGAAAGAATAAGGGGGAACAGTAAGGAAGAATAGGTAAAATACACGAGTTGACAAACTGTTAGAGGAGTGTTTTGGTGAGTTATGCCTGAGTGCCTTAACTTCTTAATGTAAGAAGTCAGACGAAATATCCTTTTAGAAATCGCTAAGACATGAGAAGACCAGGATAGGTCCGAAGAAAGAATTAATCCAAGATACTTAATTTTAGACATGGATTCTATATCAGTGTCATCAATTTTGCAACAGCTTCATCATTTAACTTTCGTTTGCATCGGAAACTGAAATTAACAGTCTGACATTTGGAAGGATTAGACGAAGACCATTTACTGACTCCTGATAGAAAGCCGTTCCTCTTAGTACAGTCGAGCTGAGAGTTAACAGACATTGAAACAGTTAGATCGTCGGCATACTTAACAAAGTTCATTTCATCATTGGAGTGAAGCAAGTCATGCAAGAAGAAAGAAAACAGAAAAGGAGAAAGGACAGTGCCTTGAGGGACACGAGCCTCAGGAAGCAATGAAGTGGACGACTTTCCCTGACATACAGTGTACTACTTTCTTCCGGAGAAATAAGAATGCAGCCATTTGACAACCCAACAGTCAGTTTGAGTTTCAGTAAGCTTGTTTAACAAAAAGCAAATGTGTAATCTAGGAAGGTGCAGCAAACAAATTTAGCCCTCTTGTCTAAACTGGAGACAATGTTATGATGCAAGACTGCAGCTACATCTAGAGTACTTCTACTGTGTTTATAGGCGAATTGTTTGGGATCGTTAAAGGCTTTCAGTGAAGATTAAAGATTGATTAAGAGTAACTTTCCCATAGTTTTTAGAAAAGGAGAGGTAATAGCAATAGGTGTAAATTTAATACATGTTCCAGTAGATGGCTTACTACTAATCACTAAGTCTAAGTTGATTACTTAGCTGGTACCATAAGCTATAAATGTCAGAGTTAGGTCGATGTGCTACCATTTTTCTCAGTTGTGACATACCACTTCTTACTACAGATGCTTTGATTATGTTCAAGAATTAAAATGAAGTGAATTTTGGTTAGTTTTACTTAATATCTGACATCCCTTTGAGTGATAGATAGTGAATATGACTCGTTTTGAGACTTCAATCCTACTTTGGTGTTTGAAACGGTGACTGCTAAGTTCGATTCTCAGTAGGAACACTGTCATTTAATCACTGGAGACTTCAGACACGTCTAACTGATGAGCCTTCAGTAGGATGAAACACACAGCCTGGATTCTATTTCTGGTAACCTTCACATAGAGTACAACAATACTTCTGGTCGTTTTTCTCCAATCTTCTACCATCCAGCAATGATAGCCTTCTTATCTCCCGCCAAATGGAGACCAATTCGAACAATCTATTCACTAGCATTGACAGTAACTTTAGAAAGACTTATTTCTTCATGCATGTATTCCCCTTGATGATTTTGAATAAAGCAAGAAAAACAACAGTGGTTTGTGCAGAATAATATGGTGTCATCACTTATTTCGTTGGCCTCTCACCAGCTGCTTACAGCCCAAAATAAATTGTTCCTATGATTTGAGTTGGACTCAGTATATTGTTACCTAATTTATAAATCACTCATCATCTTACTCTCTCTCTCTCGTCTTTACGATTGTATGCATACATTTTATTTTGTCTAAACTTGGACTCCCTGTGTAAAAACTGTATAAGTGTAATTTTCTGAGCACTGTTCACTAAGTGCGGAATCTCCTGTCAACTGACATCATGAAAAATTTGCAAGTATGTTATAAATTTTGTTGTACATCAACTTAATAATAATTTAATTAGACACTAAGCAGCAAAAGATGAGAAGCCAACGAAATAGGCGATGATGGTACCATTTTCTTATTCTGCACAAACCACCGTTGTTGTTGTTCTTGCTTTATTCAGACTTATTTCTATTTTGCTCAAAGTAGTTTTCATCAAGAAGTGGCCGGTTGTTTTTTCATATTTCATTATGAACTGACTTTATTTGGAGAAGTACTGAAAACCGAGGATTTTTTTCCCTTCACGTTCCCCAGTGGAACATAGGGCGTCAAGCTAGTGGCTTGAAGTTTCTGTAGCAGTGTTTAATTTTACAGGACGGGGTCGCAAGCCAGCCTCATGCCCAACCTTTGCTCTTTACCAGCATTATTTCTGGCTTAGTGAGGTAAAGGAGTGCGTCCAGTGGCCGGGGATCGAACCCCAGACGATGTACATGGTCGGCGAGCGTCCTAACCGCTATGCCACCGACGTACCTAGGATTACTGACTGGAAAACTACTTTTTCTCGGTTCCGGACACTTCAGCAATAAGCACTTTCATGACTCCCCCACCTACTCAGGATATAACCGAGGACCTTATGGTTATAAACTGAGCTTTATCGATCATTAACCCGATTGGATGGAATCCAATGACCAGGCCATGAATTTTAACTCCAACCACCACAGCTAATGTCATTGGTACCTATTTATCCTCACATATAACTCGTCACTAAAAAGTTCAGGCAACTTCATGCTGTAGTCAGTCACCATTCAGAACTAGGTTTATTTTTCAGAAAATGCTGGGAAGTCGTAACCAGTCGGAGGGGGGGGGCGCAACTGAATCGATTGTGAGGACAAGTCAGTTGCCGTTGACACTTACTTTTAGTTGTTGGGCCATATACAATACGAATTCGCAGAATTTAAACTTCATGGGCTGATCTTAGTGGCTGATTGATCGAAAGGCCTCGCCTTGTAAAATGGAGATTCTGGGTTCAATCTCTAATGGGTTCAATTATGGGTGATTATCGTTGGAGTGTACCAAACTAGGACAATACAGTTATTCAGTTAGTACAAAATCAAGAGGCCTTTGTTGTTAAAAGGTTATTCGACATTAAATATAGTGTAACGACAGAAGACAACGGCTAGGCAACAGATCGTTTATTGAGAAAATCACTAGATATTTTTAGGTTTTTATGTACATTATTACTCCTTATTACTAGCAGAGAAACAGTATCTTCTGATTGATTGTTTTCCTGCTGAAGGTTATTCTGTCATCTCTATGTGACCGCTTCTTGAAGGTCAGACCGTATATCTGCGAATCGTATCCGCCCACGCTAAGTTTGCTATGAATGGTTGTTTAATTCCGCAGGGTTAGGCTTTGTTCTTGCTTTTTCTCATGACCCCGATTTGGGACGTAAACATTGACGTAAATTGCCATCTACCAACAGCATTTCGACTGATTATTTGATAGACTTCACTGACATAGATTGAGAAATATATGATATGGTTATGAGCAGTAATAAATTGTGCTCGAAACGTAGTTATCAGTAAATATTACTGTATAACACTATGAGACTTTATCAAAATAATTCAAGCATTGGTTTGTAGGGATTTGGTTGATTGGTTACAGGATTTCGTCATGAGTTGACATTGGTTAGAGAACCATTGGAAAACCTGAGAGTACTGGACAGGTGTTTCGTCCTAGTTTAGGACTCTTCATCACTACGCACCCACCAGGAGGTCCTGGATTCGAATCCCGGTGGCTGCATACTGCTGAAGAGTCCCAAACTAGGGTGAAACAACTGTCCAGTACTCTCAGGTTTTCCAATGGTTCTCTAACCAATGTCAACTCATAATGAAATCCTGTAACCAATTTATCAAAATAAATTTTACCCATAATGCTTGATTATACTTTTAGCTTTCACTGACTAGAGTCAAATATCTTTAAGCATACAGTGGTTAGGACTCTCGCCGACCATGCACATGGTCCGGGTCCCCGGCAATTGGACAAAAAAATTTTATGTGGATAGTTTTTCTCTTATTTGCATGACTCCCAATATTTTTACCTCCCAAGTGAAATACAGAATGGCCTCAAGTGTGAGCTTTGGAATCTCACTAGTATTGGTAGTTTTACTTTATTTAAGGTATGGGGTTGTTCGTCTGACACCACATCAAGCATGAACATAGTTTGAATACAAATCTAAACTAATGCACTTCCGGAAACCCTGCCTAGTTCACTAACCGGTAGTTGGATGTGACGTTAACTAATATTAGACGGTTGGAGACAATCGGCAAAGCAGGCGTATTTGCAACTGCCTTCAAAGATCTCAAGATTTGAACTCGCATCACCCAGTGAGTGTTACAGTCAGACACTTTACCACTGTGCTATTCAAGCTCACGATTGACCTCCTGGAGGACTATGTTGGATACTTTTGATTGGACACTAATGTGTCTAGTGGCCATATACTGTAAAATTGACTGATAGAATTCAGTCTGCACCGAACAAAGGACTAGGCACACACACACATTACACTAGTTACTAACTACTCTGAAGTTAGCTAGGCTTCCCCATAAAACAACACTATTGCTACTAAAAGTTCGAAGCTCAGTCTTGAAGTTCTGTCTTCCATTTAGAAGGCAAAGAGTGAAGATGAAGAACATGGAGAACTTTTATTACCTAATCGCTTACTGTGACCGGTTAACAAGCTGGTCTCGTAATCTGACGATTATGGGTTCTATCTCTGGTGATGGGGTCATAGTTTCTTATATTTGAGGATTTTTTTTTAAAGATTCTTCATCACTGAGTATATTGATTTTTTGTTGTTTTAAATTTAACTTCTTAATTTACAGGTATAATGTTTAGATCAGGTTACTCTGGTACACGTGAACGTGTTTCACGTTATTGGGAACCTTCAACTCCATCACGACAACCAACACCATTGCCGCCGCCTCCACCTCCGCCGCCAGGACCACCACCTGCACGTATACCACAAGAATATTATCCATATATTGGTCCAGGGAAATGGAATAGAGGTCGTATTCGATGGTTTAATCCAATCGAACATTATGGAAGTATAATTGCTGATTTTCGTAATTTAGAAGTATTTTTTCATCAAGTGAGCAAATATACTTTTATTAAAACAATTAGTCCCTTTGATAAATTTGAATAAGCCATTTAGAAGACAAATTTCGCGAGATGATATCTTCATTTCGTAGTTTCTTTACAACCACTTTACAACTAACATGGTTAACAATAATAATAAAATAAATCTCATGACAATTACTCAGTTAAATAAAAAACGAAATTCCATACCAATGACCAATTATATTTAAATAGGTCATGTAGTTATTGGTAGGCGAAGATTGAAGTCTATTGTTTTTTGTACGTGATATGCTAGACACCCTGAACATCAAGGAAAAGGTTATGTGTTCAATCGACATAGAATCTTTATTCACAAATGTTCCTCTTAATGAAACTGTTGATTTCATTTGCTATTACATCACTTACATCAGAGACATCATCTTAATGTGTACAGAAAATATTAGATTCATCTTCCAAGAAAAGGCATACAAACAAATCGATGGTGTTGCGATGAGGAGCCGTCTTAGGCCCATTTTAGCAGATAGGTTCATGTTGAAATTGGAGAAACAAATGCAAGATATGCTTGGAGAATTTATGTTATATAAACGTTATGTAGATGATAGTCTCATTATTGGTAATAATAGTAAATCTATTGAAAACCTTAAAACTCTACTTAATTATATTGATCCAAATATCCGAGTGACTTCCGAACTCGAATTGAATAACAAACTCGGTTTCCTGGATATAACAATTACCAGGAGAGATGATGGAACGATCCAGCGATCTATTTTTCGTAAACAGACATGGAGTGGACAATATGCTCATTTCACTAGTTTTGTTCCTATTCAGCATAAACGTTCCCTAGTGAAATGTTTGTTCTCAAGGGCTCGAAAAATATGCACGAGTGACACATTGATGGATGAGCTCCGACATATGTTCAGTGTTATTAGCTAATGGTTATCCAGAGAACTTCATCACTTGTCACATGAGTAAGGATAGACAACATCTAGGAAAAACAGCTTCTGTACCAAAGAAAGCTATATTTATTAACCTACCATATAAGGGTGACCAGATTATGCCGTTGACAGCTAGCTCAAAGACTTCGGTCAGCCATCAAACCCACATTCTACGCCTCATCTCTTTTCCTCACATGCCGCACATTTTCGATCCCTGTACCTACGATTAAAGGACGAAATTCTGTGGACTCGACTTCAAACTGTATCTAAACGTCCACCTGAAGCTGCGGTGACACCTATATAGGTAGAACCAACAGGATGTTCCAATGTCGTCGAAAAGAAAATGTTTCAGAATGGTCATTAAGACACATAGAAAATCCCAATGCAGTTATTCTGGATAGAAATCCAGCATCATCCATTGCAAAACACTTATTAATGTCAGGTCACAAAATCAATATCAATTAATGACTGTTTCAGAATTATTTCACATAACTCTAATTCAAGGTTGGTTATTAAAGGTGATGGAAGCACTTTTGGGGATTAATCACATACAGCCTAAACTGTGTGTACAAAAAACAATAGACTTCAATCTTCGCCTACCATGGACTACATGACCTATCGAAATAAATATGATTGGTCATTAGTATGTACTTTTGTTTTTTATTTAACTGAGTAATTTTCATGAGTGCATCGGTGCATAGTGGTTAGGACGCTCACCGACCATGCACATGGTCCGGGGATCTATCCCCAGCCGACGTACTCCTCTACCTCGCTAAGCCAGCAATAATGCTGGTAAAGAGGAAAGGTTGGGCATGAGGCTAGCAACCCCATCCTGTGAGAATAAACACTGCTACAGAAACTTCAAGACACTAGCTTGATGCCCTATGTTCCACTGGGAACGTAAGGGAAAAAAATTTTCATGATATTTATTTTATTACTGTTAAACATGTTAGTTTAAATGTAAAGAAACTACGGAATGAAGGTATCATCTCGCGAAATTTGTCTTCTAAATGCTTTATTGAAATATAATTTTATGATAATAAAGGATGAGTGATAATATATGAGTATGACAGACCTTTAGCCTAAAGGAGAATTTTCTAGTTTACTGAAAAATAAATCTGTTAACATGAAATTCAATGGAGAACCCCCCCCCCGTGACACTCCATCTGCCTGCCTATAAAGTTCACCATAAAAATTTAAGATCCAAATTGATGATATATATTTTAGTAACAATTCTGAAAGGATTTCTACTTAGATCGAAATGTTTGTTAACATTTTTTATTTATTTGTCTACAGTTTGAATGAATCGTTTCTACCAAAGAGAAAAAGAAAAAGGTGCGTCGATGGCACAGCGGTAGAGTGCTCAAACCCCGACCGGCCAACTCCTTTACCTCGTTAAGTCAGTAGAGTAAGACTGGTGAAGGGGGAAGGTTGGGCATGAGGCCGGCTAGCAACTCCATCCTGTAAAAATAAACACCATTGTTACAGAAACTTCAAGTCTCTAGCTTGGAGGTGCTCTGTGTTCCACTGGCAACGTGAAGGAATGAAAAAAAACACACACACCAGACATTTAACTAAAGCATGGTAGGGCGAATTGCATATGTACAGAATTGGTTTTAATGGTACTTCGGCTCTATGTACTTGGGTGTATGTTCTTGGTGTCTATATTTTTTTTTTAATTTTTGATTTACAGCTTGATTCCACACTGTATTTTCGGTACAAGTATGGAATTTTCAGCATGGATATCGGTAGCCCAAATTTTGCAGGCCAACCATAGATATCAGATGTGCGTCGGTGCGGGCTCGAACCTTGGACCATGTGCATGGTCGACGAGAGTCCTAACCACTGTGCCACCGACGTACATGCTTATGGGTCTGATTTTGTCGTATAAACTAGTGGAAAGCGCAGTATGTTTACCCTTTGGTTTCTTTAAACGCGTCTGATTATTTCGATATTATAAAGAGTTTTGTATTTCCTAATGAATGAAAAACAAAACGATGACGCCGTTTCGTAGACTGACGTTTCGCTATTTAATGCTGCTGCTAATAGCTTTATTAAAGTAGTATTATTAAACCAGAATTAACAAAATCCACTCAGGTTATATATATGACAAATTAATCATCTTTCCTCAGCATGGGGTTATTTTTCCATTGTCGAATTGGCGAATTTGTAGAGATAACGAGACCAGGTGTAGACTGTTGGATATGATAAGTGTGTAAGATTGTAAAAGCAGCGTGTATTTGCATAGAGAAATCGCTTATCACACATTCGTGTTGATCTTGTCACTTCATGGAAGAGGGAGGTGTTGTAATCAGTTAAAATTCTGTTTTAGTCCATTCCTATTTAGTTCAGACGATTTGTATTCCACTTGATATGAGGTGGGCAAAGTTAAACTTTCGACACCACTAACAACCAATCAGAAAACGACCTCGAACGGACCAATCACATTAAAGAGGCATATATGGTGAATGGAAATGTATATTTATAGAAAAAAGCATAAAATAGATAATAAAAAAGGTTACGTGGGATATCTTTCTCGAACATGTGAGAGAAAAATCTCCCAGTTTAGCATGGGACTGTCAATGGAGAAGTTACACCACATCCTGTACATATATTCATCCAAATGACTATAAATGATGGTGACTATAAATGAGATACATTTATAGCCCTTATCCTATTTTCCAACCTGCCCCTAAATCCTTCATTAGAATTTGTATGTGTCCTCATAACGGGATCCAAAAAATCACTTGAATGGTTGTGTCTACGATGAATATATCCCAGAGATGACAGTGAATTGTAGCCTTTCCGTGTGTATAATTGACCCCCGCTTAACAATTCTGGTAACAATAGGTATAAGAGTAGTTACTTTTCTATCTGCTATCCTTAGGGAGAGAAGCGACCTAGCGAAAAAAGTTCCTACGAAATAATAAAATTATCAGCATACCCTCTCTAGTGTTATTAGGCTTCAAACATATAGCACAACGATGAACAAACCCATCAGTTGATTTGGTTTAGCTTTTTAAAGTCATGATATCATCACACAATCAAATTCGTTCTTTCCGGAGCAACTGAAATCTAGGAAATACTGGGAAACACTAACCTCCTCGAATTGCAACAACAGCCTTGTAAGGTCACACATTAGAAATGAATCAAGCGCTATACAACATTGAACTGCGTTCGTGAACCTCATTGGATAATTCGACATCGTTGGTGAATCTCATTGGATAATTCGCTGATTGGTAGTTAGTGGTGTCGAAAGTTTAACTTCACCATGAGGTGCTTCTGATGATGTGAGACAGTCTTTGCGATTTCTGAAACGCTTTCTCTGGATTATTTCAATATTGTCAACACCAATTCTGTGGCCTGATTCTATGGCGTAGCGTGTAAACGAGCTATGTCTGATGTGTTTTGAAGCTTTCCTAGTTCACTAACTGGGTTTCTCGGTGTTCGAACAGAGGCGACTCTATGGTGTTCATTTCTTCTGATTACCTTGATTTCTCTCTGGCGATGTTTGTCCGATGTCTTACCTGATCACATTTCAATCATTTCATTTTGTAGACACAATTAGATTCAGAGTTCTTAGGGACTTGGTGGTCTTTTATATGGACAAAGTTGCTTTAGTGTGTGTGTGTGTGTGTACATGTCTGGTGTTTTGAAGAAAACTCCGATGTTGTGCTTATTGAGTACTCTTCTGATATTGTCTGACGTCCCTGATGGTCTATATGGAGTGACAGCTGTTGAGGCGCATGTCTTGGGAATCCGTGTTTTCGAGCATGTCGGTGTTGATTTTGTTGACGAAGTTCGTTGGGTAGTTATTTTTGTTGAGAATCTCAGTCATGTTTGATATTTCTTCTTCTCTTTTCTCTTTCTTATCCGTCATCATGGAGTAGTGTGCTTGTCTGATAAGACTTGAAACAAGTGATATCTTTGCGTTGATGGTGAGGGGTGTGTGATGAACTGAAGTCTAAGTATTCGTTTGAGATAGTTTCCTTCTTGAATATAAATATATATTAAAATATCCGTTTTCCCTCCTCTCAACTAGGCAGGGGTGGTGTCTAGAAATGCTAGTTCACCGAAGTCTAATTCTGCTTAATTCTGAAGTGAACTGGATGCTAGGAGATAGATTGTGCACAGTTTCTCCAAGAATTAATTGTGTAGATCTCGTCTGGTTATTTCATTTTCTATTTCACTGTTTGAATGTTTGCTCCCCTTTGGTTTAGAGACTTTTTTGCCCCTCATTATATCATTCATCTTTTAAAAAAATATAATCTGATGCTCACTAGCGACTGGCCTTATTCAAATATGCAGTAGTTACCTGGGGTTCTAGTGGGATGCCGTGACCAACAAGTCGATGGCGAGGACAGTTACTGATTGAAGAAGACATTGCGAAGTGGTCGCTCCAAATCGTGAATGGACAAAAGTTGGAATTCATGGGCCATTGGGTCGGGTCCCATTAGCTTAATAGTATACGACCTCGTTAGCCTTGTAACCAGAGGGTCCTGGGTCTGAACCTCAGCTGTGAGGCGGGTGCGTTCTGATGAAGAGTTAGTCCCTGCAGATTTTCCAATAGTTCTCTAACCGATATGTCACTTGGTGATGAAATCCTCCAACCAATCAAACAAAACCCATCAGACCAATGCTTGACACTCACTTCTGTCAAGCAGGGCCACTCCTGATCATTTATCGAGGTTTGTCATTATCATTCTAGTGGCATTTATCAATTTTTTTTTTATAGTTCCCCTGTGAGTGTTCCTTTGTGAGTATATTTCTACAGTTTTACTAATCTGTCTTTTACAATTTTCATTGGACATTTTTAGACAAATTTTTTAAAAATTTATGTTTTTATTTCTTATTTTGTTTCTTTTTTTGTTTTTGTCGTTATTTTTTTTGTCATGTAAAACTAGTCAAATCTGTATGGAATATCCTCGGAACAATTATATCCAGATTTACCGGTTTGGTTTCAAATACGTCCTGGTGTAAGAGGCTTAGAAGGCTATAATATTCAACCAGCCATTGAAATGGGTCAGTTTCCGTCTACATCACGTATTCCTTTACCACCAGAATCAATAGTTTGTCGTCCTTCTTTAATATCGGGTCCTTCATTTTTAGGTGGAGAAATAGCTAGAATAAGAAGGTTACCCGAAAGGCGTAGAACACGAAGATTTCGGTAAGTTTTCATTGTTTCCAATATTTACCTATATACATATATAGATATATCTTCTTAGGAAATAATTATGGGTACTTTAATTGGTTACTAGGCAGTCTTGTTCTCTGTGTGCATCCCCGCGTACCGTATTCTGTCCATTCAGCTGGCAGCAGCATGTCTGCCAAACTAAGCACGTTGTCATCATGGTGGACTCGATTGGTATTAGGTAGTCAGAGATAGTCGGTTCGAATGCCCTCAGCCTGAGTTTCATGCTTAATAGCACTCACTCATCAGCAAACTATGCCTGCAACAGGCTTTGAAGAAATTAATAAAGCTTCAGAGATTCGAATGCGTGTATCGAAGTGTTGCCATTAGAGTTGCTACTATCTGGCTGCTTACGTTTATATAATTTCATTGAAGGTAGATTATTATTATTATTCTTTTTACCTTGAATTCCGACCGGAACGCAGAGCTTCAACAACAGATCAGAGGGGGAGGGTGATGTTGCTCAACACTCTCTTCGGCGTATATCCGACCGGTCCACATTTTCTTCTGCATAGTGTGTTATCCAGCAGGTTCTTGATAAGTTCTTTGCCAGATTTCCTTGCTGCTGATCCTTGCTTGCCGTATGACATTCAGTATGGTACGAGGAAGATAACTTCTGATAAAATAAAAATAATAATACAATTTTATGACTCATAGAGGTAGGGAATACACCTATAAGACTTTCATTATTTTTCCATTCAAGAGATTTTAGAAATATTGAGCTGGCAATTATATATGTTTTTTTTTAAAAATTCCATTGCGTTCTTAGTGGAACATATGGCTTAAAGATTGAGCTTTGAATTTCCAGGAGCTGTGGTGCCGCTATTTTACTGTCGAACCCCCAACTCTCTTTATGAGGCGTACTACCGGCTAAGAAAGATTTAGCAGCACATCAGTCAGGGGCGAATCGAATCCCGGACTACAAGTGTAGCCATGACAGGTATTCGGCCACTGAACAGTCGATGCGTAATCATTATAAAAATATATTCTATATAATAATAATAATGCCAGCTTTATTCTGCAAATTATTTCTAATCTCCATACGGGATTCTCAGCGTTACTTTGTTTTCTGTAGTTGATTTGTAAGAATTAGTTTTGTTTCTACGAGATGACCAGGGATTGCTATCAATTAGAGAAACTTTGAAAACCAGTACAGGAGTACTGGACAGCTGTTTCATCCTAGTTTTTGGGAATCATCGACAGTATGCATTCTTCGACAGGGTTCGAACGCAGAACTTTTCGGTTACAATGCAAGCTAGCTCATACACCATTTACCTACTGGGACACCCTACCCGACACGATTCAATGGCCAGCCAGCCCATGACTTCTAACTTCTACCGATTCGTGATGCATTTAGCACGACTGGCACCAACCAACGTCGTCAGTGGGACAAAATGTTTGCTCCCAGTATAACATCTAATAAAATATTGATTTACAGTATATCGTATGACTCAACATCATTTTGTTGGAAAACCAGACTCAGTTGACTACGAACTTTATTTAAAGTAATTCACTTCCCTTTATGAATTTCGACAAAACAATCAAGAAGACGTATTTTATCTGAAACGTGTAATGTGTAGTTGAGCGACACATTTCCGACATTCTGATCACGCACACATGTACTTGTCATACACAGTTTTATAGAACGCAAGAAGGCATGAATAATTACAATACAGGTCAGATTGTGTACAGGTCAAGGTCACAGATAATGGGGGGGAGATGACGCAAAGGAAATAAGAGAAAAGACGAAGCATCATCTCGCTACCCACTATTTTTGACCTTGACCTGTACACAATCTGACCTGTATTGTAAGCATTCATGCCTTCTTGCATTCTATAAAACTGTGCATGATGAGTACGTGTGTGTGTGTGTGATCAGAATGTCTGGAATGTGTTGCTCAAATACACGCACATTACACGTTTCAGATATGCTACGAATTTTATCCTTCATTTTCTTTTTGAAGTAATCGACATCGATAGGTTGGGAGAGAAATTAAAAATTCGTGCTAATTCATGCTGTTTGATCAAATGACATAATAAGAAGATTAAAACAACGACAAGAAATGGAGGAAAGTAGACACATTATGTGCAGAATGAAAATTTATTTAAATATCCCGGCGGTTTAAACAGACCGCCAGAAATATGCTTCACCATCTTATTGGTGTTTGAAGAATTCAATTATTCTTGAGTTAATTGATGCAATTCAGATGGAAATTCATATTGGAACTTCGAATAAATACTTATATATATATATTTCACAAGTGCAATCTAATAAATTGTTTGGTCCGCCACAGAGCAAGAAGAATTCGCTTTGATGAATGTCTTAATGAAGAGCTTAATATTATTAAACAGTTGCTGAGTGGGAATGGTTTCATCTAGAAAAATTTATCGATAAGCAAACGAATAAAAAGTCAAGGGAGGTGAAAGTACCAGCCAACCTTGTTCTTATCACTTCAGTTCCCCGGTGATGATAACATCAGTGAGATATTAACACAATACGGCTGTAAAAAGAGCATCCAGTGCTACTGAATTACACTGTATCTTCAAAACCATGCAGCCTATTTTCCGTTTGGAAGTATTTAAAGATAAACTGCCCAATTTTGACTCTTCTTGCTATGTGTATCTACCAGTATGACTGCTCTCATGAGCAGCCAGTTAGTTGCATAGGCCGTACAGTTAGGCGTGTTTTTGTCGTCGGATTTCCGAACGCTATCCAGCATAGTTGTTAAGTAGGGGACAAACAAAATCCGTTCATGGCTAGCTCTATTCTGTCTCATCTCATGGATAGAGAACACAAGATTGATGTAAACAGGGCTGCTTCAGAGTCATCTGCCGTATACCAACTAAGCTTAATTTTACCTTAATTATTCGGCTATTACATAATGCTGAGGCTGGCTGCTGGAATCCACCTTAATTAAGAAGCCTAACTTATGTAGACAAAAGAAGTTGGTTAGTTCAGACACTGCCCTTACTCCTCTGACCATCAAGGTTTTATTGATCCTTAATTTTATTTGATATTCTATTTACTATTACAATTTGAAGTTAATACTATTACTTATGCATCTTTCCTAAGAGTGGTAATTCCATTGTGATCTTAACAAATCGATAGTGCTTAAAACAAAACACCAATATTTTGTAATGACGATTATTCTAGAATACTCTGTTTATATATATATATATATATATATCTTTGGTGCAAACTAAATTCTATCAGTCAGGTTGTAATGTGGCCACTATTCTAGGTGGCTCGCCATCATGTTGGACATTGATTTGATGATGCGCCAAAGAGAGGAGTAAAAACATCACACTAGTTACTAGTGTCCAATCACAATACCCACTACAGTCTTACAGGGGGTCAGTCGCGAGCCCGAATAGCTCAGTGGTAACGTCTCTGACTGCAGGCGGCACTGGGTGACACGGGTTCCAATCTCAGAAGGGACATGAGTTCCTTCAAGGTTGTAGATACGCCTTGCTGATGAGTGCCAACTAGCACGGAACCTAGGTCCAAGGCTTCCTGCCGATTGCCTCCAACCATCTAATATCATCAAGGATATTCTTTGCCGAATTTTTTTCTAAATATTTAAACTACTACTGTTTATCGAATCAAAGTAGTGTGATTCAGCTGAAAGTTGAGTTTATTCCTAACCCTGTATGTGTAGACAGTCGACAGTTAAATAACTCTTGAGATACACTGTGATACTTGTTAGTGACTGGTTGCCGAACGAAGTTGCCTAGATATAAGAATAGAACTTGGGCTCCTCAGTGATAGATTATAGTTCCATTATGGGTAAAATTGTAAATTAAATTGTAATAGGTTAGATTAGGGGATTTAGATTTATTTCAGTCGATATATTTTCGGCCGGACTCATACCCCCGGTGGGTTCATGGGTGCGCACTTCTGAAACATCTCTTCACTGCGGCTTGGTTTTCCATGATCTATGTAAATGATATTGATGGCTGGTAAAATGTGTCAATTGAAACCACATGGCTTGACAACGTCAATATCATGTCCATAGTCTATGAGATGCTTCGTTATTTGACGTTTTGCACCTTGGCTTCAGCTCTATTTTTCAACCACTTTGTTGAATACTCCATCACAAGGATGCATAATCGCCTCTCTGCATTTGCTTCCATCGAAGGGGGACAAATTCTGTTGGTATTGTAGAGAGATTAAAATTTAGAAAGTCATTTTATTGATTAGATAATGAAGGTTCCTACATATTGTCCCACCTACTCTTTCCTTCATTCGACCATCTCAAAAAAGACAGCATACAGTCATTCTTTTCCGCTTTCGGTGAGAGTCCTATCCAATGTGCGTCGGCGGCACAGTGGTTAGGACTCTCACCGACCATGTACATATCCGAGATTCGATCCCCCGCCGACGGACACCTGATATATATGGTCGGCCTGCGAAATTTGGGCTACCGATATCACTTGCTGAAAATTCCATACTTGTACCAAAAATACGGTGTGTAATCAAGCTGTAAAAAAAAAATTTGAAAATTCTTCTTTCGAATTCTACCAAGTTAGTATTGTCTTACCAGATACCACACTGACACACTGGACATGAATTAATTATACTTTATTATCATCTCCTTGGCTTCAACAACATATCTCCGTTTATTGAATTGAATTTTTGATTTTCCCGCCGATTGATTGGACTGAAGTGCTCGGTCTCAGGTTGACATGTCGGCTTCTTGTGTAGATGCTTCGACGATGTCCGGGCATTTAGTTAGTATACAATTGGTGGGTGGTGGTTAGCAGTGGAATCCAGGATGCGCATTTCGTCCTATTTGGGACTCGTCAGCTGGATGTACCTGCATTTCTCAGTGAGTGATGATGTTCCCACCGGTCCAATCAATCGACGGGAAAATCAAAAATTCAATTCAATAATTAATATGACCCGTTGCACAAGAGGTGGCTCTCGTGGCCCAAGTGGTCTAGTGGATAACGCTTTAGCGTTTGAAACTATGGGTA